TAAACAACCGCGTCAAGCAGGACTAATTGTATGGTATACCAATTGCTGCAGTGTGAGGAACAAATGGGGAGAGATGGTGAGGCGCTGCGGATGTGCTGATGTTGTTGCCTTGACAGAGACATGGCTTTCTCCGAGCGACATGGTTAGCGACCTGCTGGTAGATTTCGTGAGTTACCGAGTAGATAGGCCTGATCACCACACTGGCGGGGGAGCACTATTGCTTATAAAGCGCCAGTATAGTCATTGGGAGGCTCCGTTTATGATGAGTAATACGAACGTTCAGGTGGTGTCTTGTTACTTAAGGATGATGGGCAGGTTGGAGATCTTTATATGTGTCTACCGCAGTCCATCGTCCACACGAGAGGAGGACAAAGAGCTCGGTGCACTATTGAGGCGCGCAGTGGTTGCTGCGCCTAATTTCCTAATAGTTGGTGATCTAAACCTTCCTCATGCGGATTGGCAAGGCACCGCAAACAGAGCGGATACCTTGGAACAGGAACTGGTTGACTGGATGCATGAGAATGCACTTGAACAATACATCAATATACCGACCAGGAGCCGAATCGGGAGTGCCCCTCCACGTTGGATGTTGCCATCACCAAACACGGTCGTTTCGCAGAGCTACAAGTGGAAGCACCTTTAGGTAGGAGTGATCACTGCGTCCTCACTTTCTGCCTAAATACATTGAAGCCTGCACGACATCCTCGCCTCGTGAGAAATTTCAGCCGCATTGACCACATGAAATTGAGGGATAGAGCCCTCCAGGTCAATTGGATCCCTGACCAGGAACAGGCATCTTTGGAACAAAGGTGGTCTGTGCTTAAAACTGGTTTAGTACAACTATTGAATGAGTTTGCTCCTCTTCGTCCTGCGAGACACTTCAGCAAGCCTCGGTGGTGGAGGAGGAGAATTGATAGAGCTCTAAAGAGACGAAATGAGAAGTGGAAAAAATTCAATGAGGCCAGGGGCTTTCGACGATGGCTACAGTACACAAAAAGCCGGAATACGGCTATCAAGATGCAACGGCAGGCTAAATACTCTTATGAGCTTCGGCTGGCCCGGTATGCGAAAACAAATCCAAAGTGTTACTACGGCTATGTTCAGTCTAAAGCCTCCCTAAGAGAGGACGTTGGGTGTCTAATTATGGAAGATGGCAGCCAGGCTGTGGAAGTCAGAGATAAAGCTGAAATGCTGCTAAGAGTCTTTCAGAATCTGCATAGGAGCGACAATGGATGTGCTGCACCATCGCAGCCACACTGTGTCAGCAGTTATATAATGCAGGACATCGTGCTGACTGCGCAAGAGGTCTTTACTGTGATGACTAACTTGAATCCCTTCAAATCAGCCGGTCCTGACGATGTACATCCGGCAATAGTCAAGCCACTAGCTGACATCCTTCAACATCCTGTTCTGGAGCTGTTCAACTTGTCGCTCCAGGAATGCAAGTTGCCACGAGACTGGAAGGAAGCAGCCATAGTTGCGATTCACAAGGGTGGCTCCAAATCGGAGCCCCTTAACTACAGACCCATCAGTCTAACCTGTGTTCTGCTCAAGTGTTTAGAGAAGCTTATAAGAAACCGGATTTGTGAGCATTTGGCGGAACACAGTCTACTTAGAGCAGAGCAGCATGGTTTCATTAAAAAGAAGTCGTGCCTCACTAATCTACTGTGCTTCCTCGATGAGATTACTCGATGTCTTGACGACGGGATTCCGGTAGAGGTCTGCTATCTTGACTTTAGCAAGGCTTTCGACTCAGTAAATCACCGTTTCCTACTTGAAAAATTAGCATGGTTCGGAGTACATCCTAGACTTCTGTCTTGGGTGTCAGAATTCTTATGTGGGAGAACGTTTCGAGTTAGAATCGGTGATGTGAGTTCTAGTGTGGGCGTGGCCTACAGTGGAGTACCCCAAGGATCGGTGCTAGGTCCACTTTTGTTTCTTATGTTTATAAACGACTTGGCTCCTCTTATTGAAGACCCCTGTTATATCTTTGCGGATGACTTGAAGCTAGTCAGCAGGGGCAACCGTGCAACACTGGCCAAGGATATCATCAGTGTGGTAAACTGGTCGAAGCAATGGGACTTGCCCTTGAATGCAAGCAAGTGCCAAATTCTGACCACTAGTAGAGACGTACTTGCAGTTCAGACTTCCTTTGGGCCCTTCCCCTTACAATGCACTACCCAGGCACGCGATTTAGGAGTCATCATGACGAGCAGCTTCAAGCCTTCGATGCAATGTCGATACGCCGCCAACAAAGCGCGACGAGAATTGTTTCGCCTCAGGAGGGCTCTGTGTAATACCAAGCCAGAAGTGTTCCTGCCACTATACAAAGCAGTGGTTAGGCCACACTTAGAGTATTGTGTTCAAGCTTGGTCGCCCTATCTCCGTGGTGATGTTCTTTGCCTGGAGAAGATTCAAAGACTAGCAACCAGGATGGTTGAAGGTCAACGGGGGAAGCCGTATGAAGATCGCCTAAAGAGCCTGGGGTTGTTTTCCCTTGAACGGCGTAGACTGAGAGGCGATCTGATAGAAACATTTAAGATCATGAAGGGCCTCAGTGCCATCGTGCCCTCTGATTTATTTGAGCTGGCTGATTCTGAACACTTGCGTGGACATCGCTTGAAGCTCAAACAGCAGAGGGCTAGACTGAACGTCAGGGCTAAGTTCTTCTCGAATCGTGTAGTGCGCAACTGGAATAAGTTGCCTTCGGAACTAATGGATTGTGAGACTGTGGTTGCCTTCAAAGCAGGCCTAGACAGGTGCTGGCCGCGTATTTTTCCGGAATTAATATAATCCTATCCAATTTATTCGCATTGATATCCGATGTTGATCCTTGTAAAAGCAAAGATTGCTCTCGCTTTTGCTATACGGTTCGTAGCCTCATATTCGATCCCACAGGCGCTAATATAGCTGCCCACCTACTTGAGTTCCTGAACGACTTCTAGCTGATCATCACAAAGCATTAGAGCAGAAGTGGGTTCTTGCCAATCTTGAAGATGTACTTTGCATTTCGATGGAGCAAATCATAGCCCAAAACGATAGACAGCCAGTGCTAATCGGTCCAGTGCTGCTTGGCATGTTTGGGATTAGGGCAGTATCGTCCGTATATTCCAAGTCAAGAAGTCGCTGGCCAGGAAGTAGCTCCACACCTTTTAGGTCATGTCCGGCGAATGCTGTTTCCATGACTTCGTCAACTGCGAAGTTAAATAGGAAAGGTGAGAACGGGCAACCTTATATCACACTGCTGGTGGTACTAAAGGGTGACAACAGTTTGCCATAGACCCTCAGTCTGCCCGACCTATGCGCGTATAGGTCTTTGATAATGTTTACATATTTATCAGACGCACCTCTCAGCAGACAGTCCATCGACTGAGTCGAACGCACTTTTGATGCCGAGAAACACGACAACTATGGGTCGCCATAATAATAATAATAATGTGTCAGCTGTACGCCGTAACGGCGCTTCGCTGCCGCGCGACCACCACCAGTCGCGCGCGGGCTGTGTATACCGCGAGGACGCCCACCCCTACGCGGATTCGAACCGGTGACCTTATGATTGCAAAGCAAACATGCAGACCACTCGGCCACCGGCCGACTGGGTCGCCATCAAACATGGTAGTGCTCCAACAATTGACGCAAGGTGAAGATGTGCCCGATGCAGTTCCGACCTCGACAAAACCCGGCTTGCTCGTCACGAATCTGGATTTCACGAGTGTCAGTCAGTTTAAGGAGAAAGACAGACGCAAGCAATTTGAAGGTGATTGAGATCCCTCTATTATTGCCGCATTCCGAACGGGGGTCTCTCTTGAAAACTGGGACAATGACGGAGCGGTTCCAGACTGTCGGGACAGTCTCCTGCTCCCAAAGTTACACTAGCAACTCGTGTATATCGTCTACTAGAGTAGGTCCTCCGAATTGTGAGTGCTGGGGGAATTCTATCTGGCCTTGCGGCCTTATGCAATTTCAACAGTCTGATCTTACATTCGATTTCCGCGCGTGAGGGCGAATCCAAGGAGACGGCCCATGGAGAGGGGCACTCAATGCCCTGCGATAACTCAGGTCGGTTAAATTGCCTTGCAAAGTGTTCGGCCCAACGCTCCAAGTGTTTCGACAGCTGTCAACTCTCCTCGCGTGTAGTCTCGCTAACAGCAGGTATCTTGCTGCCTGTTTTCCGTATCAAACGGAATAACTTGCGATGATTACCAACGGTAGCGGCTGTTTCCATCTCCGAGGTAGGATGAGACCACCAGGCTTCTCGGTGTTTCTTCAGGCCAGCACGCAGTTTTACCCTGAGATTTTTTTGAGCCTCATTGTTTTTGCTCCCAGCCGGAATACATCGGCGAGCATCCATGAGTTCCAATGACTATGTGGAGACCCAATGTCCAGTTTGGCAATTTGATTTGCCACATGAAGACATGCCTGCTGATAGTAACTTTTAAAGAATATGTGACCAGTGATCTTCGACGGTATTCAGTGGGTACTTGCTCAGCCCGGATGTCAGTGCACTTCGATACACATTCAGAACTCCTGGCTTCGCAAGCTGACTGGTGTTAATCCGTTCACATCGTTGCGGACGTCCACCGAAACGCACCCGGAGGTCTGCACAGACAAGTGCGTGGTCAGAGTCCACGCTCGTGCTCCAAATCGAGCGACACTTTTGGGCACAGCCTCTCCAGCGGTAACTGATCGATATATGATCCATTTGCGTCCATGCTTGGTGCGAAGCTGGTGGGCGCCAAGTCACTTTTCTGTGGGTGTTATATCGAAAGTTTATGCTCGCGAGAAAGAGACGAGCATCTTCACAGAGCTGTAGCATTCGCTAACCGTTATCATTACAGGAGCGTACAACATGTTGTCCGCCCAGATGAAGCTCATCAGAGGACAATTTTCCGACTTGGACATTTAGATCGCCAGCCAACACCACAGTATCCTTGCTTCTTCTGTAACGAAGGAGATCGTGAATTTGCTGATAAAAATCATATTTCACCTAATCAGTGCTACAGTTTGTAGTGGGCGTAGGCCGCAATGACGAACAGGCACCGTTTGTTCCCGTGCGACTTCGTAGCATGCAAAGAACCAGCTAATCTAACGGCGCACATCCGACTGTTGACTGGGATCCAAACCATCAGGGCAGCTTCAGCCCGGGGACTCAAAACAATGCGGACACCAGCTTGACCAGCATTTGAAGTCGCATCATTGCCAGACAGGCGCAATGAGAATGTGCTGCCAGTGTCGCATGTGGGGGATCGCAGGGTGAGCACGGAGCTCGAACCTTGCACGCGGCTTTCTGATAAACAGCAAATATCGATCGATAGGGTCTCTAGTGTGCGGCCAAATGCTGCCTGTTGGCCAATCTATAGCAAAGTGCACACCTTGAGGCATGCCAGTCTTAGCGAGGCTCGAGAATTCCAAAGGGAAACAGATTAGCTGACGTCCGCTTGGTTGAACATGGACTTATCGACTGGGTTGGAGCGACGCTCTGCGACTGTGTGTGCTTTGAAACTAGAAGACAAGCGACTATTGAAGCAAGCTGGGGTGGGCCAAGAATTGGAATGGAAAATGAGGAGGGGGTAAAAGTAAAGTTGGGGCGGGACGAGAGGGATGAAAATGAGCAACAAAGGGTACAAGAAGACGGGAAGGCCTGAGGAGTAGCATCCAAGCCCCTATCCATCCTGCTCGATGCAGCAGATATGGCGCTGTTGGTTATCCTCTGCGACGAATAGAGCATCAATAAATTATTGTAGGAAAGGTTCATTGTATTGCGTGGGCAGAATACTGTCAGGTTGCCCAGCCCTGGATAGGAGAACGATTTGGGTTCTCAACCGAAACCTTTGGCTCAAAAACTTACCGCAAGGCAGCGGGGTTTTGGCACTGGACTACAGAGATCCCGTTTTATGGAGTAAGTCACCACCCTCACTCCAAATCCTAAGGTGGACGACCAGGAGGCTGAGTTTATCTGGCCTCTAACCATTGATCAATCTGGTATGAGTGGCTCTGAAAGTGCAAAAAGCACCACCCAGCATAGCTCAATGGATCACTGATACACACAAACCACCGCATCACGTTAAGGTCCAGTCTCATCGCAATGATTTGGTATAGTATAGATGTGATCATATTGCTT